ACTTTAGAAAATAGACTGTATGAGTTAAAAGCTAAAATAGTCCCTAAGCTTCTTAATTCAAACAAATCCATTCTCGGTGATGACGTAAGAAAGATTATTATTGCGAAGAAAATTCCAAAGTCACCATCTGCAATTGACCGTTGTTTGTGCATCGCAAAGGAATTGAACATTCCCTGCTCTTTTGGTGTTAAACCTCCCTGGATTTGAAAGACTGCTCTTTTGACATCTCACTGTCTATGCACAAGAAAGAAGATACTCCAAATTACGTCTTCAGGAATCTAATAGCTGAAAAAATCCAAGTATTGGACAGTACTGGTTGGAATCTTTTGTACACAGACGGCTCAAAATCTCCTGGTCTGCCTCCTGCTTGTGCGGTGGTAGATGCTACAGGACGGGTTCTTCTCAACCACATATTTCACGAAAGTACTTCAACTTTTACAACAGAAGCCAGAGCTATCCTTCACGCTGCCAGCCTTGCCCATAAAAACAAACTCAAAACCGTTATTGTTACCGACAGTTTGTCTGTATTACAAGCTGTTCGGAATCCTTCGACTTCGAGATGGAGCACCATCAACAAATTAAGGAATATAATTACTACACCCGACGGAAAAATTAAAATGTTATGGGTACCAAGTCACATCGGTTTACTGGGAAATGAGCAGGCGGATTTAGCGGCAAAGTATGCTGCTTCTGCTCCTCTAATTATGGATGATGTCATGGAAAAGTTGGATCTTTAAAGATACATTGGAAGAAAAGTTAAAGAGAAAATTACAGAAGGAAATTTACAACACCATCATCAATACTACTCTTTTATTAACCCTCAATTAACTTCACCTTTATATCCAACAAACGTTGAGAAAACCAATATCCAAACATTCTCGAGAATTCGCCTTGGTCATACAATTGCAACTCACCAATAGATCTTGAAGAAGTCCTCCTCCCCAATCTGCAGTTGTGGACAAATTCTCACTATAAAGCACATTCTCGCCGACTGCTTTAACTTTTTCTTGACTAGAAGTATTACCTTTGGAACGATTAGCCCTTTGGACATTCTAAAATCAGCTTCAGAACAGAATATCAATTCATTATATTACTTTATTAAAACTACTAGGCTCAATATCCACTTTATTACTTTATTAAAACTACTAGGCTCAATATCGAGCTTCTTTTAGTCTAAGAATTTATTTTATTAGTCTAAAATTATAATGATAATAATAATATTGTTACGAAATTATTTAGTCTAAAATAATAATGATAATAATAATATTGTTACGAAAATTCCAAATCCGGTTAATGTCAGCTAAGTAATTTTCGTAATAATAAATTCCCTAAGAAGGAAAAACCAAATGAGCATTTGTAGGCGCCTTATGCAGCTGCAGGCCGATGAAAACGATTAGCGGAAAAGCAAACAGGTAAAAGCTAAGTGCACATTCGCAGGCGCGTCATGCCGGTGCAGGCCGATGAAGACGATTAGAGGAAAAGCAGGCTGGGATTAGAAATAACACCATATATTTAGGTATAGTAACACGCTTGTAAAAATGTACATAAATAGAATATTTGTGGAAGAGAGAGTTAGTCGGGCAAGAACATTTGAGCTGAGAGTACGGCCAAAATAAATTGTAAATAATCCTACATGTAAGAAATATAATTGTAAATAAATATTCCTACTATTGTGAAAGACAAAGTAGTAAAATAAAAGAACTTTGAAGTGTATTTCTCTTGCTCAAATTATCCAGTGATCCAGTGATACGGACTGTATCTTAGTAAAAGCGAATTTCATAACAATATATATACAATGTTTTTGTTTTTTTTTCTTTGCTCTTATAATTTTTTCTATAAATGATTGTCTATTAAAAGGAGAATTTTGTACATTAAAATTTCGAAGGAAGAAGTGAGTAAAAACTATTCTGTACATTTTGGATGAGGTCTGCAAAACAGTTTTTAGCTAATGGTAGTCTAACTCTTTCTTTAGTCATATTTAAAGGTAGAACGAAATAATTAGATACATCACAGTCGTCAATTTAATTGTAAATCTATATTCGCAATGTCAATTGGAAAAGTATTTGGATTGATTTATTTTAGTTTCAACGGTTTCTGGGCTCTTTGCTATGCGTATGTTACAACTGTGTTTTGTATGGCGATCGTCTATATATCTTTTTTCTTTTTGGTAATGTTAGGAGTTCAATTTTTATGCTACAGGTGTTTTTTCATGGGAGAGGATTTGCAACATATTGAAAACAACTCTGCGATGAACATGCGGTAGAGGGAAAAATATATGTTCACATGATTTTCGAAAAAATTGAACCAAATGCAAAAGATTGCAAATGAAAGCAAATCAAAAATACATATATATTATTATATATATTATTCTGAACAACTTGGCCGAGACCGTAAAATATATAAATCACATTTTCTTTAGTGTTGCAATTATGAATGATCAGACAAGATGTAAACACACTTTCGCTTTCCAATTGTTGATAGAGAAATTCCTTCATTTTCCCTTTCCACTCTTTTGTAGGTAATATTTCATCAAAAACAACTATCCTTTTTAATTTATTCTTATATTATATATCCTGTCTCATTACTTATCGATAATAGTGTACCCTTGTTAAGTATAACTTGTAGTAGATGTGGCGGTAATATCGGTGGTCCCGATGCCTTTTCGCATGGCTTGATCTGCGGTACATCTTGAGAATATTATTTCTCGGCATGATTCGATGCTTGTTCACTGTCAGACAATCCACATTGTTTTGAAGTGAATTCTTCGCGTGCTGAGCATGGACAAAGTGAAGACATGTACAAGTGCAGATGTCGTAACGTAAAATCTCTCTCACGACCACTCCAAACTAGGAAAATTATTACACCAAAACCTTTTCAATTTCATTGCCTAACCTTCATTAGCGCTTATATTACCAACTATATCTCAAATGACTCAGACTGGTGTACTGTAGGTAAAATTTTGCTGTTTTTTAGCCTATGCATTTCCTGAAAGGTACTTTTTTTAATTTAAAGTTCGTTTTTTCAAATAATAATAAGGCGAATTATTAAGCGTTGGCCGTATGAATTTACCGAAGCACAAACTCGTTTACCACACTTGAATGGCCTGCATTAGAGAATTATAAAGGTACTATCAGGGGATCAAGAGTACCCCATTAGCTTTCATCCGCTGCCATGATTATTAAATGAAGTAAATAAAATAAGAGCGTGCCTTGAAGCTTTTAGCAAATAATTGATATTACAAGGCAGAATTGAGAACATTTGATCTGAACTTTTCCAAGATTTTTGTTACGAGAACAGTTTTCGTGGACAGACCAACTACTTTGCAATTTGTCCGAGACTAGCCCCAAAGTGGATAAAGATTTCTACTTCATGTTGTGCGCAGTCAACAATTAATGTTTTGACAAATAATTAGGATATCGGGAAAAGCCATCTTAGCTATGATTAAATCTTGCAAATGAATCCACAGTGCGCAATAAAAACTATTACTTTGAATAATAATAGCAAGAGTTCCAAAGTACACGTGGGCATTTTTTTTTATCGTCGAGGCATAAATACAAAATATAAACATCACGCTGTCGTATAACACCGATTAGTTAAGAACGATTAATTAACTAAAGCATTCTCATCCATTAGAAAAATATAAACAAAAAAAGGGGAAAACCAAATGAAATGAGCGTATAGAAATATGAAACAATTGTAATTTATTGATTTTATGTAAGTTCGTGCAAAAAAAATTCGCCAAGAAAAATACGATTTTATCACTTATTTTTAACTAATGAAAGTCTGCACACATAACTGCAATATTATTTTATTCCACAATTTTTAATACAAAAAAAAGGAAAAGAGGCACTTCAATAAAAAAAATCAATTAAAACTCACAACGCATCAGAAGCCAATACCTAGAAGTGTTTTATAAATACAAAAGTTTACTTAAACATTTACGCTTAGGTCATTTCTCTTCAATTATTATTATTATTTTTCTGAGTTCTTCTTCGTCCATCCACGAGGTTGCGAAATACTAATGAAAAAGAAATTTCTTTAAAATTTACCGCTCGTTTGCAACGTTGCAAATAAAAAGTAGTCATTGTTGATGTTAGACGCTCTTATTTGAAAGTTTCCAAGGAGTGTGTTGCGTTTAAAGAAATCAATAAACGTTTCGCTATTTGTTGTGTATTCGATTTTCATGTTTTTATGGGCAATGATTTGCGGCAAATGTTTGGTGAAAATTGTTTGGTTGTACGTGTGTGCGTAGGTGTATCTGCTGTTAACAACATTGCCCCCGAATTCTCATTTGAACTGTTATATCTATGCTGTGCGTGCTTACAACATTCCTTAATGAGTTTATGTTCCATATATACCTCTTTAATGCTCTTTCATTTTATAATACTCTTCTTAATTATATAATGCTCTTTACGCTCTTATGAATACTCTTCAAATTGCTTTTACGTTTATGCTGAACATGTTGGGCAAATGCATCAGATGGCAGCACAATAAGCGCAAAAGAGATTAGAAAATATTTTCGTAAGAGACAAGAATAGAGAAAGAAAGAGCAGAAAAGAGAGATATTTTGAGAAACTGTGCAATATGGTGGTGTGAAAATGTATTGTAACTAACAAAACCTAAAAGTTGGATATATCTTTTACTTTTTTCATTTTTAGGGTGCGTAATACGTACAAAATATGCGGATGGACTGGTAGTGTGGCTCAGATGCGATTTGTTTATTTATCTAGTTGACAGTTCTTGGAAACTCGTCGCGAAAACATAACATGTTTGGAATTAAAATCGGTAAAAAGTATGCTCGAACGTTCCAGATGATTTCGGAATTTTATTTGATAAACAATCCGTATTTAATCAAGTTACTAAAAGGAAAGTAACGTTACTATCAAATAAATCAACGGCATTAACGTTACAATAATTTGCTAAGAAAAATTCACGGAATTGAGAATAAAATATATTTTATGCGGAGAGTATGCAAAAGTACTAAAGTGAAAATTAAAAAAGAAAATAAATTTAAAGAAAACAAAGTTATAATCAATAAATACCAGAAAATAAATACCAATGAAAAACAAAATGTTACCTTTGTTTATTTGGCTTGATGGAAAATTTTCCGTGAAAAATTGAAAATAAAAATAAACACACCGCGCTATTAAAATCATTGTAATAACTGTCAGAAGTTATTTGCAGAAGTTTTAAGAAGAACAAGCGAAAAGAAATGTATTCAATGATAACAGCCTCCCGTACCCTTGGATTAATGTTATTAACCTTATGTCGTTTTACCCATAGCCATCTGAATGTTTATCTTAACCTCCATGAGGTTATGAGACTTATAGGTAAGTACGTAGACAAATATTTTCTGCTCCAAAAAGTTAACTCTATGCAGCAGCATGCACATGACGAGCTACTTCCTTTCCCAAAAACCAATTTCAACTTTATCTAACAAATAAGAATGAAGTTACTTCGGTCTTAGACCTAGCCCTAATAGTTTTAAACTTGCGTCTTTCGCGAACATTGTCCATCTTTTTTCTTTTTGAGTAGAGGACTATTCCTGTAAACTTCATCTCGATAGTGTTTAGACCGCTGATCCAAGCTGATGGTGCTCGCATTTCACCGAAAGTTTCATAAATATTTCCAATTTTTTTGCTTCTACGTTAAATTGTACCAAGTGAAGCAAACACGTGCTCCGATCATCAGTCGCGCGGTCATAATTTAAAGTATTCAAGAAATGTTCAGACTCGTTAGTCTAATGGCAAAATAGACTAACTTCCATTTATTTCAAATTTGAAAATGTTCGATTTGCTGTGTTGAAACCTACAGAAAATTGATTTCATAACTTTTAGGTCCTTTTCGCAGATGCAGTTAACATTTAGCTTAAATTCTTCTTAGCATCCTATGTTTATATAAAATCCGTAAATGAAACACCTCTTGTTATGTTGTTTGATAACATAAACGTCAAGTCGTGGTGTGAACATTAAAACCAATAATTGGCGCATCTTAAATTTCGTATCTAAACAAATTATAATTTCTTGGAGCAAAAAACTCTTGGTTTTAAGTAAAAATTATGCATACCCACCATGCAGATTGGTATAATGCGCTCTTGCCTGTGGTTACCGTCTGCGATTAGAGGTCCTTTCGTTTTCTTTGCTTACAATAATTGGAAGTTATTCTTCACTAGGAGTAGTTTCTTGGTCGATCTACATATTTCCGCTCGCCTATTACTTCTTGCAGGTTGAGTTGTGAAAGTTGTAATGATCAACATAATTAGGCTGATCGGCCAGTGTGTAGCTCCGACTCCATTTAATGAGTTTAGAAGCCAGCAAAGTAGGAGAAAAACTAGAACAGGGATCATTATAATGCGATTACTACAGTCTAGAGCAAGTATTGTTTGAAAATTTGGAATTTGGAGTGTTGGCAAGAGACTTGATGTGGTCTGATCGACTAATTCACTCGTTTAGGGTTAAGAAAAATTTTAGCATTCTTAGTAGCTGGGTTGCACTCCAACCACTGTTTGCCAGTAGATAAGTGCCATACTTATCTCTGATCGATTACGAGATCATTCTCGTACTTATTCTGGAGATTGTTAAAATCAAAGGCTTCTTCAAGGGCGAGTAGAAGATTCTTAGTTAAGAGCCTTAACCCAAGATATCCTAAACATCTCGAGCGTAATTTAAGAAATTACTAAATTAGAAACGCAACGCGCGAATATTCAAATTCAAGCCATTACTGTCATTCATTGAAATATTTCAAACAAGTCTTCCAATTGTGCGAATCCATTTAGTTGCCTCGGTTTATATCTTAATGGCTACATTGGAACAAGGAATTGGAGAAAATTCTTTATTATTTTTTCACATATTTGCATATTTATTGATATATTTCAATAAATTTTTTAAAAGTGAAGGCGTAGCAGTTATTTTGAAGAAACATATCCCCTTGACCCTATTCGTTCCGTTTGCATTTTCTATTAAAAGTAAAAAAAGAAAATTGTTGAAATAAATTTCTCGTTCAATTTCTCGTAAAAGAAGTAGAATTTTTTGAAAACATTCATTTGAAAATATTTAATCGGGTTTAGTTAAAAATTTGTTATTTTTCAAAAGAAAATTCTAAAAGACGAAAATGAAATGTATCCACTTTAATGCACTTTCTGGACCACATGAAGGTATCAATCCCTTCTAGAATCTACTGGATACACTCTTCAATATCACTCAGCCAGTAAAACGAATATGAAAAAAATTCATAACATATATTTAGCTTTGTTTGTTTAGTTTAATGGTTTTTTTTCAAGTTTAATTTACGAAAAATTGTAGACTGACGGATATATATGGAAAACAAGGTAATTGACCCTAATCCAACGTTTCTTCAGATAGATAAATGTTTCGAAAGCTTTGCTCATACAACAAATACTTGCTTTTGTTTGCAAAATCCCGGCAAACAGACAGCAGGAAATGATCAATAACGTGAAAAGTGTTATATCCACCCGGAATACTTAAACTCCATGGAGTTTCGTGCGCGTGAAATAACTGCGATTCTTCCACTCGAAGCATTGAAAAAGAATTTTCAAAAATATTTCCAAGGCTGAATGGAAAAAATAATTAGAAAATTTTTAAATCATACAGAGCCCTACTAGTTTGTAATGTTTCCGAATTCATCAAACATTTAGGTGCCCGTAAAAAACAAATTTGTTTGAAAAAATAATAACTTTATTTTTTTATGAATACCTATTGCCGGGATAAAAAAGCCAGCGAATTTATTAGTTTTATTTATGGTATTGGTATATTACGCAATGAAGGCCTTAAGATTAGAAATATTTAGGAAATTACGGAATTGAAGCGGGTTTGTCTTGAAACTTCACTTCCGAAGCTGCTGGAAACGAACTCTCTTAAACGAATGCAGAGATCTCTTTCAAAATTTACATACTTTCTCTAAGTAGAATTCGTTAATGCTTGAAAGGAGGATTTTCGCTTCTTTGATTATAACTACATTTTAAAAGACAATACACACATGTTGTCGATCGAGAATGTCACTTTAGTCTTTTTCAAAATCCTTCATACAAGTACAAACCACACGCATCTACTAATAGAAACAAATTGTGATCTCAGATAAATTTGTGGCAAGTTATCGTGTTCACCGCGAATAGTAATGTCGCTCTTTTATATCCTTGAAAGTTTGGATTAAATAAGTCTTTTATTATACACCATATTAACAAAAAACAAGTAAAAAAGTTGTGTGTGCTCACAACAATTCTTCTATCGCACTGTGGTAGGATAAAGTTGGTATTACAATTGTTAGTAGATAAGCACTAAGGAGTTTTAGAAGTTTTATGTCAATTACTACTTCGGGTCTTGTTTAGGTTAATCAAATTCTTTTATCCCACTTTTTATTTACATATTTGAGCATTTTTTTTATACCCGCCACTGTAAGATGGGCGTATAGATGGGCGTATTTTGTTTTTTTCCAAAAGGAATCTTCAGAGACCCAACAATTATGCATATTCTCGATCAGCGTGAAATTCTTAATTGATTTAGCTATTTGTATCCGCCTGTGTGTCCTTTGTGCAAAAATGGAAAAAATTGTCCCTGCCCACTCAAATTTACAAGTAAAATAAATTTTTTTTTTTTCGGATTCAGTCCTTATGAGTGTTTCAAACTATATTGCACATTTCTCAAATGAAGATACATTATCTGCCTAAAAATGAATTAATTCAAAAAAAAAAAAACCCGGTAGCTTTTTCTTAATAATACCACTTATATGGGTATAAAGTAAAAAAACTTGGGGAGTAGAATGCGAAAAGCATAGTGATGGGTATGCGAAATTCGGCACCCGTCGAACATAACCTTCTTACTTGTTTTATTTTGAGAACGATGATGAGCCTTAAATATATTTATTTCTTATTATGTCAATCATATTTTATTCAGAATTAACGCGTTTGGCTTATTTGACATAAGACAAGAAATGAATCCAATACGTTGTGACGTCTCCAACAGTTAGTATAGTACACTTAGTTAGCCGCATTCCAGTTATGAATAGTTGATCAGTTATACCTTTATGTGAGCGCCGCAAATCTTTCCGTCTTTGATTATGAACGGTGGAGTACTCCATAAAATAAGTACAGCAAATTGCAAACTTCCAAATTTTGGCTTAGAGAAATAGAAATGTTTACGATTTGCTGTGAGCGTGTATTTTAGTTAATTAGGTCCATTTTCAATATACCAACCGAGGAAGAATTTTCAATAATTCTATCAGAACATAAAGCCGATATCTTCATTTTTGCGACCAGGAGAGTGTCAAAAATATTTATCAGAAAGATGGGCAGATACACGGACGGGCAGACATGGCTAAATCGATTCAGACTTTTACGTTACGCAAGAGTACATATATTAGTTTGGGGAAAAAGAAATCCATTCTTTTTTCGGTAGATGGCTGCACTGATAGATTTCCCGTAAAGTATCGATCAAACAATTTCAGATTTATGCTCGTTGGAAAGGTGACATTTCGCAGTGAAAAAAATTCTTTTGCTGTTTTTTGGTTGGTGCATTCAGTTGTGAGTTACAGCGTGTTAAAAATGGAAGTGAACAAAGAGAAAATTCGGTACATTTTACAGTTTTTCTTTGACAAAGGCGAAAATGCTAGCCAGGCGGCTAAAATTGTGAATGGTGTTTATGGTTCCGATACTGTAACAGCCAATTATGTGCAATTTTGGTTTCGTAGATTCCGTTCAGGAATTTTTGATGTTAAAGATGCACCTCGCACAGGTAGGCCGGTCGTCGAAAATGTCGATAAAATCGGAGAAATGATCGAAGTTGACCGGCATGTTAGCAGTCGTAATATCGTCCAGGAGCTAAAAATCGGCCATAAAACAGTTTTAAACCATTTACACAAAGCTGGATTCAAAAAGAAGCTCGATGTTTGGGTGCCACACCAATTAACAGAAAAAAACATGATGGATCGAATTTCCATCTGCGAAGCCTTGGCCAAACGGAATGAGATAGACCCATTTCTTAAACGGATGGTGACTGGAGATGAGAAATGGATCACCCTGTGCGAAAACGATCGTGGTCAAAGAGCGGTGAAGCACCTCAAACGGCCAGGAAGGTTTTGCTATGCATTTGGTGGGACTGGAAGTGAATTATTTATTATGAGTTGCTTGCATATGGCCAAAGGCTAAATTGTGATCTCTACTGTCAACAACTGGATAGCGATTGACCAGAAACGGCCAGAATTGGCTAACAGGAGAGGTGTCGTGTTCCACCAGGACAACGCTAGGCCACACAAATCTACAGTGACTCGCCAGAAACTTCGGGAGCTTGGTTGGGAAGTTTTAATGCATCCGCCATAC